AACACTTATCATGGCCACCACCACCACTACCACTAACACTTATCATGGCCACCACCACCACTGTTTACAGGAGGCAGTAATACATTTTGTATTTTCTTCTTGTTAAACTTGCTAGTTTGCTATGCACCTTATATCCAGACTGTAAAGTGTTGATGGTAGTGGCTAGTTTATTATACACACCATATCCATCCCATAGTTACTAGCACAAAAGCAGATAGTAAGTTTATTCATGTACATACAAATACAGTCACATAGATTATCATACATGTGTAGAGAACCTAGGATAACCCAAAAAAGTCAAAGTGACTTATTTCTATTGGGGTCCTTATATTTCCTTATATGAATATAAAAATTCATATAAAGTAGACCCTAAAATTTGAAGAGGACACAGAGTTGACACAGAGGTTGTACATTAAGTAAGTGACCAGGGTGAGGGTAACACGAGTCCAGTTTTTATATATATAGGAGAGAACACGAGAGGCAGTGTGTTGTGTGACACCCTCCCTCCCTTACACTCTCCCTTACTCCCTCACACTCTCCCTTACTCTCACACTCTCCCTCCTTCACACTCTCCCATACTCCCTCACACTCTCCCATACTCCCTCACACTCTCCCATACTCCCTCACACTCTCCCATACTCCCTCACACTCTCCCTTACTCCCTCACACTCTCCCTTACTCTCACACTCTCCCTCCTTCACACTCCTCCCATACTCCTCACACTCTTCCATACTCCCTCACACTCTCCATACTCCTCACACTCTCCCGTACGTCCCTCACACTCTCCCTTACTCTCACACTCTCCCTCCTTCACAAATCTCCATACTCCCTCAACCTCCATATCCTCACACTCTCCATACTCCCTCACACTCTCCATACTCCCTCACACTCTCCCATACTCCCTCACACTCTCCTTACTCCCTACACTATCCCATACTCCCTCACACTTCTCCCTTACTCCCTCACACTCTCCTTTAACCTCACACTCTCCCTTATCTATCACACTCTCCTTTTCACACTCTCCCATACTCCCTCACTCTCCATTACTCCTCTACCCTCCCTTATCCTCACACTTCCATTAACCACACACTCTCCTCCCTCACACTTCTCCCTTATCCCTCACATTCTCCCATAACTCCCTCACACTCTCCTTACTCCCTCACACTCTCCTTACTCCCTCACATCTCCATACTCCCTACACTCTCCCATACTCCCTCACACTCTCCTTACTCCTCACACTCTCCCATACTCCCTCACACTCTCCATACTCCTCACACTTCCTTACTCCCTCACACTTCTCCATACTCCCTCAACTTTTCCCTTACTCCTCACACTCTCCATTACTCCCTCACACTCTCCCTTACTCCCTCACACTCTCCCTTACTCCCTCACACTCTCCCTTACTCACACTCTCCCATACTCCCTCACACTCTTCCATACTCCCTCACACTCTCCCATACTCCCTCACACTCTCCCTTACTCCCTCACACTCTCCCTTACTCCCTCACACTCTTTCATACTCCCATCACACTCTCCCATACTCCCTCACACTCTTCCATACTCCCTCACACTCTCCCATACTCCCTCACACTCTCCCATACTCCCTCACACTCTCCCTTACTCCCTCACACTCTCCCATACTCCTCACACTCTCCCTTACTCCCTCACACTCTCCATACTCCCTCACACTCTCCCTTACTCCCTCACACTCTCCCATACTCCCTCACACTCTCCCTTACTCCCTCACACTCTCCCTTACTCCCTCACACTCTCCCATACTCCCTCACACTCTTCCATACTCCCTCACACTCTCCCATACTCCCTCACACTCTTCCATACTCCCTCCACCTCTCCCATACTCCCTCACACTCTCCATACTCCCTCACACTCTCCCATACTCCTCACACTCTCCCTTACTCCCTCACACTCTCCCTTACTCCCTCACACTCTCCCTCCTTCACACTCTCCCATACTCCCTCACACTCTCCCATACTCCCTCACACTCTCCCTTACTCCCTCACACTCTCCCTCCCTCACACTGTCTGATGTATGCTAACATTATAAACATCATACTCCACACTGTCGCGTGACAGTGAGTGTCAACATGGCTGGTATCACCGTGACAAGTGTGTTTTTGCACTAACATAAAAGTGTAATATATTCAGCTAACCTATCATGATATCTTCATTTTCGTGATGTTACATATCTGTTTGTTGTCTAAACTGGTGACATAACATTGTGTTTTCTTGGTATCCTTATAAGATGATATAATATCTGTAGTTGTGATACTTGTATATACACAAACTATCATATTATAACCTTGCTTGTCTAAATGGGTGGTAAAACTAGATATATTTATAGTTTATTTAAATGATATAAGAAGTTTTATTAATGTTTGGGTAAACTATTATGAGTGCGTTTAATATTTATATAACCTGGCATTATTGTTCCCTCATTATATAGTAAAATATGAGTTAAAGAACACAGCTGCAACTGATGTGACACAATAATATTAGCTATGTCTATTTCCCTAACATTTTGTCACTAGTTCTACCATTATTACTAACATTAATGTTACTAGTGCAGCATAAATATGGTAATAATATTGTACTAGTGTTAAATATTAAATATTTGTTATATTTTATTGAATAGTCTCCGTTCTTAGAATAATTTACATAACATAGACGTATAGTCTCCGTTCTTAGAATAATTTACATAACTTAGACGTATAGTCTCCGTTCTTAGAATAATTTACATAACTTAGACGTATAGTCTCCGTTCTTAGAATAATTTACATAACTTAGACGTATAGTCTCCGTTCTTAGAATAATTTACATAACATAGACGTATAGTCTCCGTTCTTAGAATAATTTACATAACTTAGACGTATAGTCTCCGTTCTTAGAATAATTTACATAACTTAGACGTATTAGTCTCCGTTCTTAGAATAATTTACATAACTTAGAACGTATATAGTCTCCGTTCTTAGAATATTTACATAACTTAGACGTATAGTCTCCGTTCTTAGAATAATTTACATAACTTAGTACGTATAGTCTCCGTTCTTAGAATAATTTAATAACTTAGACGTATAGTCTCCGTTCTTAGAATAATTTACATAACTTAGACGTATAGTCTCCGTTCTTAGAATAATTTACATAACTTAGATGTATAGTCTCCGTTCTTAGTAATAATTTTACATAATTAGACGTATAGTCTCCGTTTTTAGAATAATTTACATAACTTAGACGTATAGTCTCCGTTTTAGAATAATTTACATAACTTAGACGTATAGTCTCCGTTCTTAGAATAATTTACATAACTTAGACGTATAGTCTCCGTTCTTAGAATAATTTACATAACTTAGACGTATAGTCTCCGTTCTTAGAATAATTTACATAACTTAGACGTAGCCATCTTAGCTATTATTAACTTATATTTTATGATGGTGTAATTATGTAAATTACCTAATTATGTAAAGTACCTAATTAAGTTGTGCCAATAAAGAAAATTAAAATAAATATGGTACTAGAAGCAAAATAATCAAATGTCTTCTAGGAGAATTTACTAGAAGCCATTGTGTACTCTCAGTTGTATGTACTCTCAGTTGTGTGTTGTAATATTAGTGTGTATGTACTCTCAGTTGTGTTGTAATATTAGTGTATGTACTCTCAGTTGTGTTGTAATATTAGTGTATGTACTCTCAGTTGTATGTACTCTCAGTTGTGTTGTGGTAATAGTGTGTGTACTCTCAGTTGTATGTACTCTGTTGTGTTGTGGTAATATTAGTGTGTGTACTCTCAGTTGTGTTGTAATATTAGTGTATGTACTCTCAGTTGTGTTGTAATATTAGTGTATGTACTCTCAGTTGTGTTGTGGTAATATTAGTGTATGTACTCTCAGTTGTGTTGTGGTAATATTAGTGTATGTACTCTTAGTTGTATAGTGGTAATATTAGTGTATGTACTCTTAGTTGTATAGTGGTAAGATTAGTGTGTGTACTCTCAGTTGTGTAGTGGTAACATTAGTGTATGTACTCTCAGTTGTGTAGTGGTAACATTAGTGTATGTACTCTCAGTTGTGTGTAGTGGTAACATTAGTGTATGTACTCTCAGTTGTGTAGTGGTAACATTAGTGTATGTACTCTCAGTTGTGTAGTGGTAACATTAGTGTATGTACTCTCAGTTGTGTAGTGGTAACATTAGTGTATGTACTCTCAGTTGTTGTAGTGGTAACATTAGTGTATGTACTCTCAGTTGTGTAGTGGTAACATTAGTGTATGTACTCTCAGTTGTGTAGTGGTAACATTAGTGTATGTACTCTCAGTTGTGTAGTGGTAACATAGTGTATGTACTCTCAGTTGTGTAGTGTAACATTAGTATATGTACTCTCAGTTGTGTAGTGGTAACATTAGTGTATGTACTCTCAGTTGTGTAGTGGTAACATTAGTATATGTACTCTCAGTTGTGTAGTGGTAACATTAGTATATGTACTCTCAGTTGTGTAGTGGTAACATTGGTGTATGTACTCTCAGTTGTGTAGTGGTAACATTGGTGTATGTACTCTCAGTTGTGTAGTGGTAACATTAGTATATGTACTCTCAGTTGTGTAGTGGTAACATTAGTATATGTACTCTCAGTTGTGTAGTGGTAACATTGGTGTATGTACTCTCAGTTGTGTAGTGGTAACATTAGTATATGTACTCTCAGTTGTGTAGTGGTAATATTAGTATATGTACTCTCAGTTGTGTGGTGATAGTGTATGTACTCTCAGTTATGTGGTGGTAATAGTGTATGTACTCTCAGTTGTGTGGTGGTAATAGTGTATGTACTCTCAGTTGTGTGGTGGTAATAGTGTATGTACTCTCAGTTGTGTGGTGGTAATAGTATATGTACTCTCAGTTGTGTGGTGGTAATAGTGTATGTACTCTCAGTTGTGTGGTGGTAATATTAGTATATGTACTCTCAGTTGTGTGGTGGTAATAGTGTATGTACTCTCAGTTGCACCTGAGCGGCCGTTCCTGATGTACGCTGGGGCTCAACTAGCACTGGACGCCAGACTCACAACCCGGGAGGGTAACTCCATTACCCTCCACTGTGTAGTGGAGGGTGGTAACCCCTCCCCTTCCATCACCTGGCTCCTGGCCACTCACGATGTTACTCCCTCCAGCCAGGTAAGTTCCTTCACTCTACCTACCCACCTAATGTCTTATTTCCCTCCATCCCTGTCTATCACCCTCCCTCCCTAGTTCCCTTCTTTAATTCCATGTTATATTATTACCGTTAATTATACAGGTGTAATATTCTGATAATATTAATTATATAACTTTATATCATCTATAATTAAAAGTGCTAATTGCTTGCTGACAATGGTTTGACCGCTAACAGCTGGCCTGCTAACAGCTGGCCCACTAACAGCAGGACTGCTGACAGCTGAACTGCTAACAGCTTGCCCACTAACAGCTGGCTCACTGACAGCTGGCCTGCTAACAGCTGGCCCACTAACAGCTGGACTGCTAACAGCTGGCCTACTAACAGCTGGACTGCTAACAGCTGGCCCACTAACAACTGACCTGCTAACAGCTGGCCCACTAACAGCTGGCCTACTAACAGCTGGACTGCTAACAGCTGGCCCAATAACAGCTGGCCTGCTAACAGCTGGCCCACTAACAGCTGGCCCACTAACAGCTGGACTGCTAACAGCTGGCCCACTAACAGCTGGCCTGCTAACAGCTGGACTGCTAACAGCTGGCCTACTAACAGCTGGACTGCTAACAGCTAGCCCACTAACAGCTGGCCTGCTAACAGCTGGCCCACTAACAGCTGGCCTGCTAACAGCTGGCCCACTAACAGCTGGCCTGCTAACAGCTGGCCACTAACAGTGGCTGCTAACAGCTGGACTGCTAACAGCTGGCCTACTAACAGCTGGACTGCTAACAGCTGGCCCACTAACAGCTGGCCTGCTAACATCTGGCCCACTAACAGCTGGCCTGCTAACAGCTGGCCCACTAACAGCTGAACTGCTAACAGCTGGCCCACTAACAGCTGGACTGCTAACAGCTGGACTGCTAACAACTGGACTGCTAACAGGTGGATTGCTAACGGCTGGCCTAACAGCTGGACTGCTAACAACTGGCCTTACTAACAGCTGGACTGCAAACAGCTAAACTGTTAACAGCTGGCCCACTAACAGCTGTACTCTCACACCTGTATTCTCTCATCTGCACTCTCACAGTTGTACACTACCTTCATTAACGTGTAGTCCTATCTAAGGTATACCAGTGCTCCCCGAGGCTGCTGCTGTTGCTGTATCCAAGTCTACTAACACTTAAGTACCTATTTTCTCCTAACTTATTAGGGTAAGCATGTGTAAGGAGAGTTTTCCACAAGTGTAGCGCCGCCTGGATATCTAACCCTGGTCTATTCTGTTGTAAGCCAGCCGCTCCAGCACTTAAAGAAGCGACCTTGTTCTTTAACCCGTGTTGTGTTGTGGCGCAGGTTCGCTCCGAGTGGAGGGAGACAGAGGGAGTGTTCTACACCGTGAGCAACATGACACTGAATACCGTGGACAAGCAACACCACAACACCACTGTTGCCTGCATGGTCACTCACCCCGCACTGCCAGTGCCTCTACGAGTACCATTAAGGCTTAATATTGAGTGTAAGTGATAGTCCCAGCGTGTGTTACCCACCCGGCACTACCAGTGCCATTACCTGTGTCATTAAGGCTTAATATTGAGTGTAAGTGATCCTCCCAGCGTGTGTGTTCAGTTCCTAAAGTTCACTCTTGTACTCACAAGTGAATATACATCCACCCGTGGTTAAGAATCACTACAATATGAGTACAAGTAATCGTTGCAACGTGTGAGTGAGCGACCTGCAGTGAGAGTCTGCGAGTACGAGTGCAAAATACCCACAAACTGCTACATCCTCAAAGGTAAAATAAATATTTAGTGGAGACAGTTTTTCTTGGTGATAAAGGTCTTATTTAAGTCTCTAGAGTACATGGTAAATATAGGTAGATATTGGTCGTTAGGACCATGAGAGAGTTGACAGTGGCACTAACACTATGGGAGAGGTGAGAGTGGCACTAACACTATGGGAGAGGTGAGAGTGGCACTAACACTATGGGAGAGGTGAGTGGCACTAACACTATGGGAGAGGTGAGAGTGGCACTAACACTATGGGAGAGGTGAGTGGCACTAACACTATGGGAGAGGTGAGAGTGGCACTAACACTATGGGAGAGGTGAGAGTGGCACTAACACTATGGGAGAGGTGAGAGTGGCACTAACACTATGGGAGAGGTGAGAGTGGCACTAACACTATGGGAGAGGTGAGAGTGGCACTAACACTATGGGAGAGGTGAGAGTGGCACTAACACCATGGGAGAGGTGAGAGTGGCACTAACACTATGGGAGAGGTGAGAGTGGCACTAACACCATGGGAGAGGTGAGAGTGGCACTAACACCATGGGAGAGGTGAGAGTGGCACTAACACTATGGGAGACGTGAGAGTGGCAATAACACCATTGGTGAGAGGTGAGTAGTGGCACTAACACTATGTGGTGAGTGTGAGAGGGCACATAACACTATGGGAGAGTGTGAGAGTGGCCTAACACTATGGGAGAGGTGAGAGTGGCACTAACACCATGGGAGAGTCCAGTGTAGGGTGGCACTAACACCATGGGAGGTGTCGCCAGTGGCACTAAACCATGTTGGTGTACCAGTGTGGTGGTGGCCAGTTCCCATGGGAGAGTGTGAGTGGCACTACACATGGGACGATGAGAGTGGCACTACACCATGGGAGAGGTCTGATGAGTGGCACTAACACCATGGGAGAGGTGATCCCGTGGTGGCACTCCAACCCATGGGAGAGGTGCCCAGAGTGTGTGCATCTAACACCATGGGAGAGGTCAGTGGTGGTACTACAATGGGAGAGGTGAGTGTGGCCTGAACACCATGGGAGAGTGTGTAGAGTGCATCTAACACCATGTGGAGAGTGTAGTGTGGCATTAATCCCATGGGTAAGGTGAGAGTGGTCCTAGACCATGGGAGAGTGAGAGTGGCACTAACACTATGGGAGAGGTGAGAGTGGCACTAACACCATGGGAGAGGTGAGAGTGGCACTAACACCATGGGAGAGGTGAGAGTGGCACTAACACCATGGGAGAGGTGAGAGTGGCATAACACCATGGGGAGGTGAGAGTGGCACTAACACCTATGGGAGAGGTGAGAGTGGCACTAAGCCCATGGGAGGGTGTGAGAGTGGACTAACCCATGGGAGAGGTGAGAGTGGCCTACACCATGGGAGGGTGAGAGTGGCACTAACACCATGGGGAGGTGAGAGTGGCCTAACACCATGGGAAGGTGAGGTGCACTAACACCATGGGAGAGGTGAGAGTGGCACTAACACCATGGGAGAGGTGAGAGTGGCACTAACACCATGGGAGAGGTGAGAGTGGCACTAACACCATGGGAGAGGTGAGAGTGGCACTAACACATGAACAACTGTCAAGTTAAGGTTGTTTGTCGAATAAGAGGTTGTGTCTCCAGTGTGGTGGTGTCCCCAGTGTGGTGGTGTCCCCAGTGTGGTGGTGTCCCCAGTGTGTGTCCGTGTGTGGTGTCCCCAGTGTGGTGGTGTCCCCAGTGTGGTTGTGTCCCCAGTGTGGTTGTGTCCCCAGTGTGGTTGTGTCCCCAGTGTGGTGGTGTCCCCAGTGTGGTGGTGTCCCCAGTGTGATGGTGTCCCCAGTGTGGTGTGTCCCCAGTGTGGTGGTGTCCCCAGTGTGGTGGTGTCCCAGTGTGGTTGTGTCCCCAGTGTGGTTGTGTCCCCAGTGTGGTGGTGTCCCAGTGTGGTTGGTGTCCCCAGTGTGTGGTGTCCCCAGTGTGGTGGTGTCCCCAGTGTGCTGGTGTCCCCAGTGTGGTGGTGTCCCCAGTGTGGTGGTGTCCCCAGTGTGGTGGTGTCCCCAGTGTGGTGGTGTCCCCAGTGTGGTTGTGTCTCCAGTGTGGTGGTGTCCCCAGTGTGGTGGTGTCCCCAGTGTGGTGGTGTCCCCAGTGTGGTGGTGTCTCCAGTGTGGTGGTGTCCCAGTGTGGTTGTGTCCCCAATGTGGTGTCCACAGTGTGGTGGTGTCCCCAGTGTGGTGGTGTCCCCGGTGTGGTGGTGTCCCCGGTGTGGTGGTGTCCCCAGTGTGGTGGTGTCCCCAGTGTGGTGGTGTCCCCAGTGTGATGGTGTCCTCAGTGTGGTGTCCCAGTGTGGTGGTGTCCCCAGTGTGTGGTGTCCCAGTGTGGTGTCCCCAGTGTGGTGGTGTCCCCAGTGTGATGGTGTCCTCAGTGTGGTGTCCCCAGTGTGGTGGTGTCCCCAGTGTGATGGTGTCCTCAGTGTGGTGTCCCCAGTGTGGTGGTGTCCCCAGTGTGATGGTTGTCCTCAGTGTGGTGTCCACAGTGTGGTGGTGTCCCCAGTGTGATGGTGTCCTCAGTGTGGTGTCCCCAGTGTGGTGGTGTCCCCAGTGTGATGGTGTCCTCAGTGTGGTGTCCCCAGTGTGGTGGTGTCCCCGGTGAAAAGTGTCTGGTGCGAGTGTATCGTCCTGAGATTAAACACACTCACGACTCTGTTCCAACAAACACTGGAAGGATACACGTCCTTACATGATCTAACATGACCTTACACGACCTAACATGACCTAACATGACCTTACACGACCTAACATGACCTAACATGACCTTCACGATGGACACCATCATACAGTACTCTAGGAAATCTAAATTACAAAATTCCTTATTTGACAAACACTTCGACTTGACTTGTACAATTGTTCACATGTTCATATCACTAACACCTCTCCCAGGTACAGTTGTTCACATGTTCATATCACTAACACCTCTCCCAGGTACAGTTGTTCACATGTTCAGGTCACTAACACTTCTCCCAGGTACAGTTGTTCACATGTTCGGGTCACTAACACTTCTCCCAGGTACAGTTGTTCACATGTTCATATCACTAACACCTCTCCCAGGTACAGTTGTTCACATGTTCAGGTCACTAACACTTCTCCCAGGTACAGTTGTTCACATGTTCAGGTCACTAACACTTCTCCCAGGTACAGTTGTTCACATGTTTTAGGTCACTAACACTTCTCCAGGTACAGTTGTTCACATGTTCGGGTCACTAACACTTCTCCCAGGTATAGTTGTTCACATGTTCATATCACTAACACCTCTCCCAGGTACAGTTGTTCACATGTTCAGGTCACTAACACTTCTCCCAGGTACAGTTGTTCACATGTTCAGGTCACTAACACTTCTCCCAGGTACAGTTGTTCACATGTTCAGGTCACTAACACTTCTCCCAGGTACAGTTGTTCACATGTTCGGGTCACTAACACTTCTCCCAGGTACAGTTGTTCACATGTTCATATCACTAACACCTCTCCCAGGTACAGTTGTTCACATGTACAGGTCACTAACACTTCTCCCAGGTACAGTTGTTCACATGTTCGGGTCACTAACACCTCTCCCAGGTACAGTTGTTCACATGTTCATATCACTAACACCTCTCCCAGGTACAGTTGTTCACATGTACAGGTCACTAACACTTCTCCCAGGTACAGTTGTTCACATGTACAGGTCACTAACACTTCTCCCAGGTACAGTTGTTCACATGTTCGGGTCACTAACACTTCTCCCAGGTACAGTTGTTCACATGTACAGGTCACTAACACCTCTCCCAGGTTACAGTTGTTCACATGTTCAGGTCACTAAACACTTCTCCCAGGTTTCAGTTGTTCACATGTTCAGGTCACTAACACTTCTCCCAGGTACAGTTGTTCACATGTTCATATCACAACACCTCTCCCAGGTACAGTTGTTCACATGTTCATATCACTAACACCTCTCCCAGGTACAGTTGTTCACATGTTCATATCACTAACACCTCTCCCAGGTACAGTTGTTCACATGTTCAGGTCACTAACACCTCTCCCAGGTACAGTTGTTCACATGTTCGGGTCACTAACACTTCTCCCAGGTACAGTTGTTCACATGTTCGGGTCACTAACACTTCTCCCAGGTACAGTTGTTCACATGTACAGGTCACTAACACCTCTCCCAGGTACAGTTGTTCGCATGTTCAGGTCACTAACACCTCTCCCAGGTACAGTTCGCATGTTCGGGTCACTAACACTTCTCCCAGGTACAGTTGTTCACATGTTCGGGTCACTAACACCTCTCCCAGGTACAGTTGTTCGCATGTTCAGGTCACTAGCACTTCTCCCAGGTACAGTTGTTCGCATGTTCAGGTCACTAGCACTTCTCTCAGGTACAGTTGTTCACATGTATCCTCTGTAGAACTAATACAGAGTGGTCCTAAAGTTTAAGTGACCTACAGAGTGGCCCTAACGTATAAGTGGCCTACAGAGTGGCCCTAACGTATAAGTGGCCTACAGAGTGGCCCTAACGTATAAGTGGCCTACAGAGTGGTCCTAAAGTGTGTAACTACGTTTGTTACTTACAATGTGTAAAGTGTGTTGGTTTGTGTGGGGGGAAGGGAAAGGGGGTGACCCAGTGGTAGACAAGAAGCACTGAAGAACGGATATACACTAAGGTGACAATAGATGGTCACCACCTGCAGATGTACAGCACATTACACGGCCCTCAACACGGGTTGAAGTGACATTAACAGTCTTACAAATCAACTACACTTATATGACATGATAACACATAATGCAAGCAAAAAAAGACAGGTGTCATTTCTAGACTGAAAAAAAGAGAGATTACAGTATTGAGGGAGAGAAACAGAGAGAGAAAAAAGAGAGAGCGTAGGGAAAGTGGGTAAGAAAATCTAATCACATTAATGATAATAAGATTGTAGTGAGCGGGGATTTAGGCTCTCGGGGAGCGGTGTACCGTCATTGTATTGTACAGTGTACTGTACCGTCATTGTATTGTACAGTGTACTGTACCGTCATTGTATTGTACAGTGTACTGTACCGTCAGGGTATTGTACAGTGTACTGTACCGTCATTGTATTGTACAGTGTACTGTACCGTCATTGTATTGTACAGTGTACTGTACCGTCATTGTATTGTACAGTGTACTGTACCGTCATTGTATTGTACAGTGTACTGTACCGTCAGGGTATTGTACAGTGTACTGTACCGTCATTGTATTGTACAGTGTACTGTACCGTCATTGTATTGTACAGTGTACTGTACCGTCATTGTATTGTACAGTGTACTGTACCGTCAGGGTATTGTTTCAGTGTACTGTACCGTCATTGTATTGTACAGTGTACTGTACCGTCATTGTATTGTACAGTGTACTGTACCGTCATTGTATTGTACAGTGTACTGTACCGTCATTGTATTGTACAGTGTACTGTACCGTCAGGGTATTGTACAGTGTACTGTACCGTCATTGTATTGTACAGTGTACTGTACCGTCATTGTATTGTACAGTGTACTGTACCGTCATTGTATGTACAGTGTACTGTACCGTCAGGGTATTGTACAGTGTACTGTACCGTCATTGTATTGTACAGTGTACTGTACCGTCATTGTATTGTACAGTGTACTGTACCGTCATTGTATTGTACAGTGTACTGTACCGTCATTGTATTGTACAGTGTACTGTACCGTCAGGGTATTGTACAGTGTACTGTACCGTCATTGTATTGTACAGTGTACTGTACCGTCATTGTATTGTACAGTGCACTGTACCGTCATTGTATTGTACAGTGCACTGTACCGTCATTGTATTGTACAGTGTACTGTACCGTCATTGTATTGTACAGTGCACTGTACCGTCATTGTATTGTACAGTGTACTGTACCGTCATTGTATTGTACAGTGTACTGTACCGTCATTGTATTGTACAGTGTACTGTACTGTCATTGTATTGTACAGTGTACTGTACCGTCATTGTATTGTACAGTGCACTGTACCGTCGGGTATTGTACAGTGTACTGTACCGTCATTGTATTTGTACAGTGTACTGTACCGTCATTGTATTGTACAGTGCACTGTACCGTCATTGTATTGTACAGTGTACTGTACCGTCATTGTATTGTACAGTGTACTGTACCGTCATTGTATTGTACAGTGTACTGTACCGTCATTGTATTGTACAGTGTACTGTACCGTCATTGTATTGTACAGTGCACTGTACCGTCAGGGTATTGTACAGTGTACTGTACCGTCATTGTATTGTACAGTGTACTGTACCGTCATTGTATTGTACAGTGCACTGTACCGTCATTGTATTGTACAGTGTACTGTACCGTCATTGTATTGTACAGTGTACTGTACCGTCATTGTATTGTACAGTGTACTGTACCGTCATTGTATTGTACAGTGTACTGTACCGTCATTGTATTTGTACAGTGTACTGTACCGTCATTGTATTGTACAGTGTACTGTACCGTCAGGGTATCGTACAGTGTACTGTACCGTCAGGGTATTGTACAGTGTACTGTACCGTCATTGTATTGTACAGTGTACTGTACCGTCATTGTATTGTACAGTGTACTGTACCGTCATTGTATTGTACAGTGTACTGTACCGTCATTGTATTGTACAGTGTACTGTACCGTCATTGTATTGTACAGTGTACTGTACCGTCATTGTATTGTACAGTGTACTGTACCGTCATTGTATTGTACAGTGTACTGTACCGTCGGGTATTGTACAGTGTACTGTACCGTCAGGGTATCGTACAGTGTACTGTACCGTCATTGTATTGTACAGTGCACTGTACCGTCATTGTATTGTACAGTGTACTGTACCGTCATTGTATTGTACAGTGTACTGTACCGTCATTGTATTGTACAGTGCACTGTACCGTCATTGTATTGTACAGTGTACTGTACCGTCATTGTATTGTACAGTGTACTGTACCGTCATTGTATTGTACAGTGTACTGTACCGTCATTGTATTGTACAGTGTACTGTACCGTCAGGGTATTGTACAGTGTACTGTACCGTCAGGGTATTGTACAGTGTACTGTACCGTCATTGTATTGTACAGTGCACTGTACCGTCATTGTATTGTACAGTGTACTGTACCGTCATTGTATTGTACAGTGCACTGTACCGTCATTGTATTGTACAGTGTACTGTACCGTCATTGTATTGTACAGTGTACTGTACCGTCATTGTATTGTACAGTGCACTGTACCGTCATTGTATTGTACAGTGTACTGTACCGTCAGGGTATCGTACAGTGTACTGTACCGTCATTGTATTGTACAGTGCACTGTACCGTCATTGTATTGTACAGTGTACTGTACCGTCAGGGTATCGTACAGTGTACTGTACCGTCATTGTATTGTACAGTGCACTGTACCGTCATTGTATTGTACAGTGTACTGTACCGTCATTGTATTGTACAGTGTACTGTACCGTCATTGTATTGTACAGTGCACTGTACCGTAAGGGTATCGTACAGTGTACTGTACCGTCATTGTATTGTACAGTGTACTGTACCGTCATTGTATTGTACAGTGTACTGTACCGTCAGGGTATCGTACAGTGTACTGTGCCATTACTGCATTGTGAAGTGTACTGTACCATTACTTGCATAGTGTAGCTTCAGTATATTGTGGTGGTGTTAAGGTGGTGGCTGGGAGAGAAGTGTGCAACATTACCTCGCCTCAGACAGCACTCACAACAATACCAGGTCAATATAATATTACACAGGTAATTGACCAGATTAAAATGGGAGAGAGAGAGAGAGAGTAGTGTACATCAGACGTTAATTGTGTAATGTTATTAGCATTATCTTCCTTGCTTCTACTGCAGTGTATGAGACAAAGCTCACACCACACTCTAAGTAATACAGAAAACAATCGTCTCTTATCTCTCTCTCTCTCTCTCTCTCTCTCTCTCTCTCTCTACAGATTCACCAGACTTCCGGTTGCGTCGGTGGCCAGCCTGGGGTTCTCCTGTGAGGGAAGGATCCAGTGTCTTCCTCTTGTGTCATGTTGATGCCAACCCTCCCTCCATCCCTACCTGGGTCAAAGGTCAGTACCACCTGGGTCAAAGGTCAGTACCACCTGGGTCAAAGGTCAGTACCACATGGGTCAAAGGTCAGTACCACATGGGTCAAAGGTCAGTACTACCTGGGTCAAAGGTCAGTACCACATGGGTCAAAGGTCAGTACCACCTGGGTCAAAGGTCAGTACCACATGGGTCAAAGGTCAGTACCACCTGGGTCAAAGGTCAGTACCACATGGGTCAAAGGTCAGTACCACCTGGGTCAAAGGTCAGTACCACCTGGGTCAAAGGTCAGTACCACATGGGTCAAAGGCCAGTACCACCTGGGTCAAAGGTCATTACTACCTGGGTCAAAGGTCATTACCACCTGGGTCAAAGGTCATTACCACCTGGGTCAAAGGTCATTACCACCTGGGTCAAAGGTCATTACCACCTGGGTCAAAGGTCATTACCACCTGGGTCAAAGGTCATTACCACCTGGGTCAAAGGTCATTACCACCTGGGTCAAAGGTCATTACCACCTGGGTCAAAGGTCATTACCACCTGGGTCAAAGGTCATTACCACCTGGGTCAAAGGTCATTACCACCTGGGTCAAAGGTCATTACCACCTGGGTCAAAGGTCATTACCACCTGGGTCAAAGGTCATTACCACCTGGGTCAAAGGTCATTACCACCTGGGTCAAAGGATCACTACCACTGGGTCAAAGGTCATTACCACCTGGGTCAAAGGTCACTACCACCTGGGTCAAAGGTCGGAACCACCTGGGTCAAAGGTCATTACCACCTGGGTCAAAGGTCATTACCACCTGGGTCAAAGGTCATTACCACCTGGGTCAAAGGTCATTACCACCTGGGTCAAAGGTCATTACCACCTGGGTCAAAGGTCACTACCACCTGGGTCAAAGGTCATTACCACCTGGGTCAAAGGTCACTACCACCTGGGTCAAAGGTCGGAACCACCTGGGTCAAAGGTCATTACCACCTGGGTCAAAGGTCACTACCACCTGGGTCAAAGGTCACTACCACCTGGGTCAAAGGTCATTACCACCTGGGTCAAAGGTCACTACCACCTGGGTCAAAGGTCATTACCACCTGGGTCAAAGGTCACTACCACCTGGGTCAAAGGTCGGAACCACCTGGGTCAAAGGTCACTACCACCTGGGTCAAAGGTCACTACCACCTGGGTCAAAGGTCACTACCACCTGGGTCAAAGGTCACTACCACCTGGGTCAAAGGTCACTACCACCTGGGTCAAAGGTCACTACCACCTGGGTCAAAGGTCACTACCACCTGGGTCAAAGGTCACTACCACCTGGGTCAAAGGTCACTACCACATGGGTCAAAGGTCACTACCACATGGGTCAAAGGTCACTACCACCTGGGTCAAAGGTCACTACCACCTGGGTCAAAGGTCACTACCACATGGGTCAAAGGTCACTACCACATGGGTCAAAGGTCACTACCACATGGGTCAAAGGTCACTACCACATGGTCAAAGGTCACTACCACCTGGGTCAAAGGTCACTACCACCTGGGTCAAAGGTCACTACCACATGGGTCAAAGGTCACTACCACATGGGTCAAAGGTCACTACCACCTGGGTCAAAGGTCACTACCACCTGGGTCAAAGGTCACTACCACCTGGGTCAAAGGTCACTACCACCTGGGTCAAAGGTCACTACCACCTGGGTCAAAGGTCACTACCACATGGGTCAAAGGTCACTACCACATGGTCAAAGGTCACTACCACCTGGGTCAAAGGCACTAACCACCCGGGTCAAAGGTCAGTACCACCTGGGTCAAAGGTCAGTACCACCTGGGTCAAAGGTCACTACCACATGGGTCAAAGGTCACTACCACCTGGGTCAAAGGTCACTACCACCTGGGTCAAAGGTCACTACCACCTGGGTCAAAGGTCAGTACCACCTGGGTCAAAGGTCAGTACCAACCTGGTCAAAGGTCACTACCAATGGGTCAAAGGTCACTACCACCTGGGTCAAAGGTCACTACCACCTGGGTCAAAGGTCACTACCACATGGGTCAAAGGTCACTACCACATGGGTCAAAGGTCACTACCACATGGGTCAAAGGTCACTACCACCTGGTCAAAGGTCACTACCACCTGGGTCAAAGGTCACTACCACCTGGGTCAAAGGTCAGTACCACCTGGGTCAAAGGTCACTACCACCTGGGTCAAAGGTCACTACCACCTGGGTCAAAGGTCACTACCACCTGGGTCAAAGGTTAGATTCAGCTTCCCATTAATTAAATATAAATAATACCAAGAATAATAATAATACTGATAATAATATTAATAACTATAATAACAATAGTAATAATATTACAAATAATAATAATACTAAGTGTTAGTATTACATTGTCCTGTACAAGAGTAACTAATGTAATTGTTGTGACGTGACGTGACGTGACGTGACGTTGTGTTGGGTTAACAGAGACGGAGGGAGGATCAACGGAAGTAGCATCAACGGACGAGTGGCTTAACATAACCCGTGCGGGTAGTGAGGACCGAGGCTGGTACAAGTGTGCGACTACTCATACCTTCGGTCACTTCTCCTCCCATTCAGTCTTTATTAATGTTCTCGGTGAGTGAAAGTACTCTTGTAATGTTCTGTGTGAGTGCAAGTACTGTTATGTTCTCTGTGAGTGAAATTACTCTTGTAATGTTCTGAGTGAAAGTACTGTTATGTCCTGTGAGTGAAAGTACTCCTGTAATGTTCTGTGTGAGTGAAAGTACTCTTGTAATGTTCTGTGTGAAAGTACTGTTATGTCCTGTGAGTGAAAGTACTCCTGTAATGTTCTGTGTGAGTGAAAGTACTCTTGTAATGTTCTGAGTGAAAGTACTGTTATGTCCTGTGAGTGAAAGTACTCCTGTAATGTTCTGTGTGAGTGAAAGTACTCTTGTAATGTTCTGTGTGAGTGCAAGTACTGTTATGTTCTCTGTGAGTGAAAGTACTCTTGTAGTGTTCTGTGTGAGTGCAAGTACTGTTATGTTCTCTGTGAGTGAAAGTACTCTTGTAATGTTCTGTGTGAGTGCAAGTACTGTTATGTTCTCTGTGAGTGAAAGTACTCTTGTAATGTTCTGTGTGAGTGCAAGTACTGTTATGTTCTCTGCGAGTGAAAGTACTCTTGTAATGTTCTGAGTGAAAGTACTGTTATGTCCTGTGAGTGAAAGTACTCCTGTAATGTTCTGTGTGAGTGAAAGTACTCTTGTAATGTTCTGTGTGAGTGCAAGTACTGTTATGTTCTCTGCGAGTGAAAGTACTCTTGTAATGTTCTGAGTGAAAGTACTGTTATGTCCTGTGAGTGAAAGTATTCCTGTAATGTTCTGTGTGAGTGCAAGTACTGTTATGTTCTCTGTGAGTGAAAGTACTCTTGTAATGTTCTGTGAGTGAAAGTACTCTTGTAATGTTCTGTGAGTGAAAGTACTCTTGTAATGTTCTGTGTGAGTGCAAGCACTGTTATGTTCTCTGTGAGTGAAAGTACTCTTGTAATGTTCTCTGTAAGTGCAAGTACTGTTATGTTCTCTGTGAGTGAAAGTACTCTTGTAATGTTCTGTGAGAGTGAAAGTACTCTTGTAATGTTCTGTGTGAGTGCAAGCACTGTTATGTTCTCTGTGAGTGAAAGTACTCTTGTAATGTTCTGAGTGAAAGTACTCTTGTAATGTTCTGTGAATGAAAGTACTCTTGTAATGTTCTGTGAGTGCAAGTACTGTTATGTTCTCTGTGAGTGAAAGTACTCTTGTAATGTTCTGTGAGAGTGAAAGTACTCTTGTAATGTTCTGTGTGAGTGCAAGTACTGTTATGTTCTCTGTGAGTGAAAGTACTCTTGTAATGTTCTGTGAGTGAAAGTACTCTTGTAATGTTCTGTGTGAGTGAAAGTACTCTTGTAATGTTCTGTGAGTGAAAGTACTCTTGTAATGTTTCTTGAGTGCAAGTACTGTTATGTCTCTGTGAGTGAAAGTACTCTTGTAATGTTCTGTGAGTGAAAGTACTCTTGTAATGTTCTGTGTGAGTGAAAGTACTCTTGTAATGTTCTGTGAGTGAAAGTACTCTTGTAATGTTCTGTGAGTGCAAGTACTGTTATGTTCTCTGTGAGTGAAAGTACTCTTGTAGTGTTCTGTGTGAGTGCAAGTACAGTTATGTTCTCTGTGAGTGAAAGTACTCTTGTAATGTTCTGTGAGTGAAAGTACTGTTATGTTCTCTGTGAGTGAAAGTACTCTTGTAATGTTCTGTGAGTGAAAGTACTCTTGTAATGTTCTGTGAGTGAAAGTACTGTTATGTTCTCTGTGAGTGAAAGTACTCTTGTAATGTTCTGTGAGTGAAAGTACTCTTGTAATGTTCTGTGAGTGCAAGTACTGTTATGTTTCTCTGTGAGATGAAAGTACTCTTGTAATGTTTGTGAGTGAAAGTACTCTTGTAATGTTCTGTGAGTGAAAGTACTCTTGTAATGTTCTGTGAGTGAAAGTACTCTTGTAATGTTCTGTGAGTGAAAGTACTCTTGTAATGTTCTGTGAGTGCAAGTACTGTTAATGTCTCTGTGAGTGAAAGACTCTTGTAATGTTCTGTGAGTGAAAGTACTGTTATGTTCTCTGTGAGTGAAAGTACTCTTGTAATGTTCTGTGAGTGAAAGTACTGTTATGTTCTCTGTGAGTGAAAGTACTCTTGTAATGTTCTGTGAGTGAAAGTACTCTTGTAATGTTCTGTGAGTGCAAGTACTGTTATGTTCTCTGTGAGTGAAAGTACTCTTGTAATGTTCTGTGAGAGTAAAAGTACTGTTATGTATTAGTGCTGGGTATTGTGGTTATATACGGCACTACTGACAGTATCACACCTGTGCTGGCACTACTGACAGTATCACACCTGTGCTGGCACTACTGACAGTATCACACCTGTGCTGGCACTACTGACAGTATCACACCTGTGCTGGCACTGCTGACAGACACACCTGTGCTGGCACGCTGACAGTATCACACCTGTGCTGACACTGCTGACAAGTATCACACCTGTTGCAGCACTGCTGACAGTATCACACCTGTGCTGGCACTGCTGACAGTATCACACCTGTGCTGGCACTACTGACAGTATCACACCTGTGCTGGCACTACTGACAGTATCACACCTGTGCTGGCACTGCTGACAGTATCACACCTGTGCTGACACTGCTGACAGTATCACACCTGTGCTGACACTGCTGACAGTATCACACCTGTGCTGGCACTACTGACAGTATCACACCTGTGCTGGCACTACTGACAGTATCACACCTGTGCTGGCACTGCTGACAGTATCACACCTGTGCTGACACTGCTGACAGTATCACACCTGTGCTGACACTGCTGACAGTATCACACCTGTGCTGGCACTACTGACAGTATCACACCTGTGCTGGCACTGCTGACAGTATCACACCTGTGCTGACACTGCTGACAGTGCCACACCTGTGCTGACAGTGCCACACCTGTGCTGTTAAAGTTCCCACATTAATCACTGTGGGTGTGTCTGCTAGGTGAGGGTCGGGTGGGTGTGGTGTCCGCCCACACCCCACAGCTGCTGAGGAAGACCACCCCGCCGGACGACAGCCGCCCACATTGCTACACCCACGCCCACAACGCCTCCTTCCACGCCCATGACGCGGGACTAATCCCACAAGGTGAGCCGAAAATAGTTAAGTCTATTATTCTTAAACCTAAACATTAACACCCGATTTTTTCTGGTTTTTATTTTTTTTATATATGAGAAAAAATATAGAAAGAATTTATCTGTACAGCTTTCTTATTGCAAGGTCTGTGTGGGCCGCTAGCACAAACAGTGTGGTTGACCAGGTGGTACACGGGATAGTCTGGTCTCAGGCCTCACTGCCGGGATGGTCGATGTGATAGTCCGGTCTCAGGCGTCACTGCTGGGATGGTCGATGTGATAGTCCGTCTCAGGCGTCACTGCAGGATGGTCGGAGAAAGTCCTGGTCTCATGCGTCACTGCAGGATGGTCGATAGATAGTCTGGTCTCAGGCGTCACTGCCAGGATGGTCCATGTGATAGTCTGGTCTCAGGCTTCACTGCCAGGATGGTCCATGTGATAGTCTGGTCTCAGGCGTCACTGCAGGGATGGTCAATGTGATAGTCTGGTCTCAGGCGTCACTGCAGGGGTGGTCGATGTGATAGTCCGGTCTCAGGCGTCACTGCAGGGATGGTCGATGTGATAGTCTGGTCTCAGGCGTCACTGCAGGGATGGTCGGTATGATAGTCTGGTCTCAGGCGTCACTGCAGGGATTGTCGATGTGATAGTCTGGTCTCAGGCGTCACTGCAGGGATGGTCGATGTGATAGTCTGGTCTCAGGCGTCACTGCAGGGATGGTCGATGTGATAGTCTGGTCTCAGGCGTCACTGCAGGGATGGTCGATGTGATAGTCTGGTCTCAGGCGTCACTGCAGGGATGGTCGATGTGATAGTCTGGTCTCAGGCGTCACTGCAGGGATGGAAGGGCTCTCAAAAACTCTCACAGATAAATCACAAGTACATCCTTTCTTCTACCTGGGTATTTGTCCTCTTCCCTGTGTCTGCATAACTGTCCGTGCTCAGCGTGTGTATGTACTCAAGATGTGTCTGTCTTTCTGTCTACAAGTGAAACTGTCCAACACTGACTGGGGGTCACTACAGTTACTAAGAGGTGTGGTTGTGGTTATCAGTCACTGTAGTACTAACAGAGGTGTGGTTGTGGTTATCACAGTCACTACAGTTACTACCAGAGGTGTGGTTGTGGTTATCACAGTCACTACAGTTATTAGAGAGGTGTGGTTGTGGTTATCAGTCACTACAGCTACTAACAAAGGTGTGGTTGTGGTTATCACAGTCACTACAGTTACTAACAGAAGTGTGATTGTTGTCATCACAGGAGGAGTGATGGTGGAGGCTGTCAACACGACAGTGCTTTCCATGGGTGGGCGAACCACTGCACTGGCCGCCTATGTGTGTGGCCGCCCACCGCCCACCTCCGTCACCTGGCTGCCGCCCGCCCACCTACCGCCCCTGGTGGCCGGCACTACAAGAGACAGGTTCCGGGCACACAACCTCACGGTGAGACTCACAACTATGTTTGTCTTGCTTGTTTTACAAGTAACACATTATAAAGGGAGAGAGACTTGTACACTTTTATGTGGATGAAATATAATCCATTATCAGTGCACTGTTAACCTTGCGCTATATTCCCTCCAGGGAGGTTCCCTGATGTGTTCCCTCCAGGGAGGTTCCCTGATATATTCCCTCCAGGGAGGTTCCCTGATATGTTCCCTCCATGTAGGTTCCCTGATATATTCCCTCCAGGGAGGTTCCCTGATGTGTTCCCTCCATGTAGGTTCCCTGATATATTCCCTCCAGGGAGGTTCCCTGATGTGTTCCCTCCATGTAGGTTCCCTGATATATTCCCTCCAGGGAGGTTCCCTGATATGTTCCCTCCATGTAGGTTCCCTGATATATTCCCTGCAGGGAGGTTCCCTGATGTGTTCCCTCCATGTAGGTTCCCTGATATATTCCCTCCAGGAAGGTTCCCTGATATGTTCCCTCCATGTAGGTTCCCTGATATATTCCCTGCAGGGAGGTTCCCTGATATGTTCCCTCCATGTAGGTTCCCTGATATATTCCCTGCAGGGAGGTTCCCTGATGTGTTCCCTCCATGTAGGTTCCCTGATATATTCCCTCCAGGAAGGTTTCCCTGATATGTTCCCTCCATGTAGGTTCCCTGATATATTCCCTGCAGGGAGGTTCCCTGATATGTTCCCTCCATGTAGGTTCCCTGATATATTCCCTCCAGGGAGGTTCCCTGATATATTCCCTCCAGGGAGGTTCCCTGATACATTCCCTCCAGGGAGGCTCCCTGATATATTCCCTCCAGGGAGGTTCCCTGATATATTCCCTCCAGGGAGGTTCCCTGATATATTCCCTCCAGGGAGGTTCCCTGATATATTCCCTCCAGGGAGGTTCCCTGATATATTCCCTCCAGGGAGGTTCCCTGATATATTCCCTCCAGGGAGGTTCCCTGATGCCGGGAAAGGACTCTTGTTAGAGTTCTTTACCGGCATCAAACTAATTACTTCTGATTTCAAATTCCCCAGGTGCTCTTGAACCATACGGATTTAGCACTCTACCTTGAACGCAATAATAATAATAATAGCACCCTACGCTATATGAGTTACATAGTGGGAATAAAAGTTAGCTTTCATATTACTGATGGTATAAAGTTAAATAAGACTTGTGCTGTGCAACACTATATTACCGACACTTCGCGGATATTATGCCGGAGACAGTAGAAAGTTAGATATATTTTCCCAGTCAAGCTGAATGTGTTTTGTATATCCGTCAATGCACGAGAGGTTCAATAGAAAAAGATTGATGATGCGGGTGATTGCAGTAAGTCTCAGCTTCTGTAAAGTTACACTCGACATTATCTAACACAATACTTCCTGGTTCTCATATTACATCTCCTCTCAAGTTTTGCACCATAGACAACAATCTCATTCCTCATTTACAATTCACTATATTTTCAGCTACTTTACGCACCTTCCCTAGATACTGTTCCAGTGTTGTCAGCTGTCTGCTCTACATTATTTACATGAACTGCTTCGCCTGTACTAATTACCTTCGTACATTGCATTTGTCATTTATTTCTATGTTTATTTTTCGGGTGAATAATGACATAAACTTGCTGATACGTTGGTGCATCTTGTTACACAGGAAGGGGAGATAGGAGGCTGCCTCTACACTGTGTTGACCATCGTGGGTGTCCGCACCAGTGACGCCGGCAGATGGGTCGTAGTAGCCGCCAGCCAGAAGGACGCCGACGCCGCCCTCATCCGTCTTAATGTTACGGCCGCCGCCCACTCCTTCTCCGCCAGCAGTGCTCACACCCACCATCAACACCACCACGAAGCCCATACCTTCACCATCTTCCACACACCGCTAGTGGCAACTTTCATCTTACTCTCTGCCTCTGCTCTCTGGCCCTGAACCTCACTTGACGTGATGTAAAGTGTCAACTTCGTAATTTGTTACTGTGGGTGCCATCATCGGCACTAACTTAACGTTTTCGTGCCAATTAAAGCCCCCAATAAACTCTGGGGGCCCAACAAGGGGGACCCATAAACTGTGGGTGCCAGCTTTGGCGCTCGTTAAACGGTAGTGCCAACTTTCTATCCCGAAAAAAACAAGGAGAGAGGGAGGCGGCTCTCTAATATACTGGCCTGAGCAAGCGTACCATTGAAGTTCCATCTTTTATATACTATATGCTGCGTACCTGTGTGCGTAGGTCTGCGTACCTGTGTGTATATGACTACATACCTGCACATACGTAGATCTACGTGCTTGTGTGTGCAAAGATACTGACTGTCTTAAAACTGTGATAGTGTTGTGGCCGAGTGATGAGGACATTGTTACAAGGACAAAGAAGTAATGAGAACACTGCCACGAATACCACTAAGACATTATGATAAGGACACTGTCACAAGGACACTCACGGGGTCACTAATGGATGGAGACACTGGAGGGAAGTAGTTGAAGAGAGCACTGTCACGGGGACCAAAGTGTAAAAGAAAATATAACAGTGTCGACATGACATTGGACACTGTCGTGCTGACACGTGGAAGAAGAGTCTCAAAAGAATATCAATGACCTGAGTCAATGATGGAGTGATGAGCGTAGTGAAGCGACTGTCAACGAGGACAACGTTGATGGATCGACATTGATATTAAAACATCAGTATTACTAGACAGTAAAATGAAACTGAACATTCAACGTTTGGCGGAGATGTTTGCATTACCTCTAGCTAGCTAGCTACTTTGTCATATCATGTTCATAATGAACCATGACATGAGGTGTGGCCTGGGGTTGGTGTGGCTCTGTGAGGGTGTAGCCTGATATACATGTGGCACAAATTCCTCTGTCTCAAGACTGAAACTACCTCATATTCCAGCGGCGGAGTGCCCGAGCAGCTGATACTGTCAGCTCAACTTCGTACTATACATTTACACTTAAGAGCTTTGTGAAGATTTCCCAAACACCCGTGACATAATTAACGTTATTTTTATTATTATAGTAATCATTAATATATTATGGGGAAACGCGAAATTCGTACGGGTCATAAAGTCTTGGGAATGGGAAGTAATTAGATTTGATAAATGGAAAAGAAGGGCAGCTCTAGTACCTTGGACCAAGTGACCCTTTCACGAGCATCAATGAATCCCCCACTGATGCGTAACAACATAATGTTGACCTACAACCAGCCTTGATAGACTGCATTTACAATACCTTTCAACGTTGCAGAAACTATCTGAGAGAGTCTGGACCTGGACCAGTGCGGAGGTCAACGTACACAAGTGACTGCAAGTGTACTACATACGTACTTTTAAGCTTGCTCCTTATACGTAATATTCAATGCTGTTCTACAGTGTACCTGAACATGGGAGTGCATGGGAACGACTGACAGCAGATAACTTGGGTGTTCACATCGAGGCTATCTGCTGAAAGGAACTCTGCTTATATCTAGATTAAGGATTATCATGTATTATCTAACATGCTTGAGGCAAGGAGAGTGCAGTAGAAGGCTCTCCTCTCCTGGTCTAAAACATTAGAAAATACATGATAATTATTAATCAGGTTGAGACCTGGACCAGACTAGACTTAACCACTACCTGTCTCACTCTCCAGGTATACTACCCGTTTAATACATGATAGGGACCAGCATCACCACACGAATATTGAGATAATAATATACCACAATATAACATACATATATATACCATAATATAACATAGATCTACAGTATATTATAGTAAAAAAAGATTTATACCATAATATAAGAAAGTTGTATACCACAGTATAAAGTGGATCTATACCGTAATATAACATAGATCTGTACCATAATATAGCTTAGATCGACACTAAAGTACAGACTAGATTTATACCATATTATAAGAGATCTATACCATAGAATCTATATCTTTATATACAAAATAATCCAACAAAACTACAAGTGTCACCTGGCTGTTACTGAACGAAGGATTAAGTCCTCAATATATGTGCTTGATGACCCACACTGGTTTAGCGCTTCTTATAAATATACGAGACGCGAGTAGCGCAAACTTCAATCCCTGTAAATGAGCCACACCATAGGCTAGCCATGACCTACTATAGGCAAGTCATGAGCCACATCATAGGCAAGTCATGAGCCACATCAAAGGCAAGTCATGAGCCACATCAATGGCAAGCCATGAGCCACACCATACTAAGCCATGAGCCACAACATAGGCAAACCATGACCTACCATAGGCCAGCCATGACCTACCATAGGCAAGCTATGATCTACCATAGGCCAGCCATGACCTACCATATTCAAGCCATGAGCCACATCATAGGCAATCCATAAGTCACACCACAGGCAAGTCATGAGCCACATCATAGACAAGCCATGAACCACAGCATAGGCAAGCCATGAACTACAACATAGGCACGCCATGAGCCACACCATAGGCATGCCATGAGCCACACCATAGTATGCCATGAGCCACGTCAGAGGCAAGTCATGAGCCACATCATAGGCAAGCCATGAGCCACACCATACTAAGCCATGAGCCACAACATTGGCAAGCCATGAGCCACAACATAGGCAAGCCATGAGCCACATCAAAGGCAAGTCATGAGCTACATCATAGGCAAGCCATGAGCCACACCTCCCAGCCAGCCTCTAGTGTTAGTTGTCACTGCTGAGTGGTGACAGTGGTCGTCCTCAGCTGTACTGTGTGGTGGTGACTGGTCGTCTCCAGCACTGCTGAGTGGTGGTGACTGGTCGTCTCCAGCACTGCTGAGTGGTGGTGACTGGTCGTCTCCAGCACTGCTGAGTGGTGGTGACTGGTCGACTCCAGCACTGTTGAGTGGTGGTAACTGGTCGACTCCAGCACTGCTGAGTGGTGGTGACTGGTCGTCTCCAGCACTGTTGAGTGGTGGTGACTGTGACTCCAGCACTGTTGAGTGGTGGTAACTGGTCGACTCCACACTGCTGAGTGTGGTGACTGGTCGTCTCCAGCACTGCGGAGTGGTGGTAACAGTTATCTTCAGCTGTGCTGAGTGGTGGTGACTGGTCGTCCTCAGCTGTACTGTGTGATGACTGATCGTCTCCAGCACTGCTGAGTGGTGGTAACAGTTATCGTACTCAGCACTGCTGAGTGGTGGTAACAGTTATCGTACTCGGCACTGCTGAGTGGTGGTAACAGTTATCGTACTCAGCACTGCTGAGTGGTGGTAACAGTTATCGTACTCAGCACTGCTGAGTGGTGGTAACAGTTATCGTACTCAGCACTGCTGAGTGGTGGTAAAACAGTTATCGTACTCAGCACTGCTGAGTGGTGGTAACAGTTATCGTACTCAGCACTGCTGAGTACGATAACAGTTATCGTACTCAGCTGCTGTCTGTCAAGTTCTTGTAATAAAATATAATAAATGTTTGTGTCTCTTTATTCTTCTTTATTTGTCCTTTAATGACGCGACTATCCTTCAGTACTATGACTATCCTTCAGTACTATGACTATCCTTCAGTACTATGACTATCCTTCAGTACTATGACTAACCTTCAGTACTATGACTATCCTTCAGTACTATGACTATCCTTCAGTACTAAGACTAACCTTCAGTACTATGACTATCCTTCAGTACTATGACTAACCTTCAGTACTATGACTATCCTTCAGTACTAAGACTAACCTTCAGTACTATGACTATCCTTCAGTACTATGACTATGCTTCAGTACTATGACTATCCTTCAGTACTATGACTATCCTTCACTACTATACTATCCTTCAGTACTATGACTATCCTTCAGTACTATGACTATCCTTCAGTACTATGACTATCCTTCAGTACTATGACTATCCTTCAGTACTATGACTAACCTTCAGTACTATGACTATCCTTCAGTACTATGACTATCCTTCAGTACTATGACTAACCTTCAGTACTATGACTAACCTTCAGTACTATGACTAACCTTCAGTACTATGACTATCCTTCAGTACTATGACTATCCTTCAGTACTATGACTATCCTTCAGTACTATACTATCCTTCAGTACTATGACTATCCTTCAGTACTATGACTATCCTTCAGTACTATGACTATCCTTCAGTACTATGACTATCCTTCAGTACTATGACTATCCTTCAGTACTATGACTAACCTTCAGTACTATGACTATCCTTCAGTACTATGACTATCCTTCAGTACTATGACTAACCTTCAGTACTATGACTAACCTTCAGTACTATGACTAAACCTTCAGTACTATGACTATCCTTCAGTACTATGACTAACCTTCAGTACTATGACTAACCTTCAGTACTATGACTATCCTTCAGTACTATGACTATCCTTCAGTACTAAGACTAACCTTCAGTACTATGACTATCCCTCAGTACTATGACTATCCTTCAGTACTATGACTATCCTTCAGTATGACTATCCTTCAGTACTATGACTATCCTTTAGTACTATGACTATCCTTCAGTACTATGACTATCCTTCAGTACTATGACTAACCTTCAGTACTATGACTATCCTTCAGTACTATGACTATCCTTCAGTACTATGACTATCCTTCAGTACTATGACTATCCTTCAGTACTATGACTATCCTTCAGTACTATGACTATCCTTCAGTACTATGACTATCCTTCAGTACTAGACTATCCTTCAGTACTATGACTATCCTTCAGTACTATGACTATCCTTCAGTACTATGACTATCCTTCAGTACTATGACTATCCTTCAGTACTATGACTATCCTTCAGTACTAAGACTAACCTTCAGTACTATGACTATCCTTCAGTACTATGACTATCCTTCAGTACTATGACTATCCTTCAGTACTATGACTATCCTTCAGTACTATGACTATCCTTCAGTACTATGACTATCCTTCAGTACTATGACTAATCCTTCAGTACTAAGACAAACCTTCAGTACTATGACTATCCTTCAGTACTATGACTATCCTTCAGTACTATGACTATCCTTCAGTACTATGACTATCCTTCAGTACTATGACTATCCTTCAGTACTAAGACTAACCTTCAGTACTATGACTATTAAGCTAAGACTATCCTTCAGTACTATGACTATTAAGCTAAGACTATCCTTCAGTACTATGACTATTAAGCTAAGACTATCCTTCAGTACTGTATAGTCCTTGTGGCTTAGCGCTTCTTTTTTGATTATAATAATAATATCCTTCAGTACTATGACTATTAAGCTAAGACTATCCTTCAGTACTATGACTATTAAGCTAAGACTATCCTTCAGTACTATGACCAGGAAACAGAGAGAGGGTAAAGGAGGTTTTAAGTGCGAGGGGCTTGATCATCCAACAGGCGCGTGTGTATGTGTTAAGAGTGTAGACAAGTGGCTTTTATGATTTGACGTAATGTTGGAGTGTGAACAAGGAAAACAGGTTAACCGGACTTGAGTCCTGGAGGTGGGAATTACAGTGCCTGCACCATGAAGGACAGGTGAGGATGTTGCTGTTTAGTCGGTTATCTGAACTGTGATGTCGCAGCCTTCTGGCAACACAGTGATTGAATAAATAACGGTGGAAGTGTTTTCTTCTTCGGTAAGTCACCCTTCCTTAATGGAAGTGTTGGTATGTCGTGCCGAATAGATAAAACTGGTCAATTAGCAAAAAGTCATTTAAAATTAAGTCCTGTCTAAAATTTTCTCTCATAAGTTTAAAGATATATTTTTTCCATTTATGTTAATGTTAAAACTAATAATTTTGTACCAGAAGAACCTTAGAAAAGTTACCTAGCTTAATTATAACAAGCGCAATTTAATTTAGCCTAATCCAACTAAATATATTTTAGATAAATTCACTTGTATTATTCGGCAGGGAGAGCGTTGCTATTTAAACCAAAATCGCAAATTTTTACCTATTCGGCACATATGTGTGTGTGTGTGTGTGCGCGTGTGGGTGCGCGCCCTCGCAAGAGGAGTGTCTGAGGTGTGACAGTGATGGGTGACAAACAGAGACACTAATTAACAGCAGGTGGAGCGACTTTCAACCAGCAATACCTACATCACCTCCCGCACTGACCTGACCTCCACCACACAATAACCACCACACGGAGTACGTTCAGATACTGTATCCCACTGGAGAACGTTCCTCAAGGGAACGTTCTCCAGTGGATCGAATAATATTGTAGGGGAAGGAAACATGAAATAACTCTGAGGACAGTGACATTACAATGGAGAAGCGCAACTTGGACCAATACTGTTGATGGTTTATGTCGATATTCCAGATGGGACTGATTCAGGTATATCCCTTTTTGCTGATAAATTTATATCTAGTGTGGATAAACACAAATGAGGATAAGAGAGAGATGTAGGTTCGCCGGTACTTTTGGCGCTGGTCTTCTCCAGATGGCGACCCGGCAAGATGAGAATAAGGAAAGGCTGGAGAGGGATCTGGACAAATTGCAAATGTGGTCAGATAAGTGGTTGCTTGAGTTCAACCCCAATAAATGCAAGGTTATACTTCACTCAAAGAGAAATACCTAGGGGTTAGCATAGTGCTCAGTATATAACCAGATGCGATGTACAAGAGTGGCAAGAAGCAGGGCCAGGAGCTTAGAATCGACTCCTACAACCACAAACAGCACACACACACACACATACACACTGAAAGGAAACAATGAGTGTTGGTACGTGATGAGGTGTCAGAGTGGGCGCATGTGTCGAGTGGGGTTCCACAAGGGTCAGTCCTTGGCCCGGTGCTATTTCTTGCATATGTGAATGATATAAATGAAGGAAAAGATTCACAAGTGTCGCTGTTCGCTGATAATGTGAAAATAATGAGAAGAATACAAGCGGACGAGGATCAGGTAAGATTACAAGGGGATCTGGACGGTTTGCAAGCTTAGTCCGACAAATGGCTCCTGGAGTTTAACCCCAACAAGGGCAAAATCATGAAGTGTGGAGAAGGACAAAGAAGATCACAGACGGAGTACAAGCTAGGGGATCGAAGGCTGCAACCCTCATATAAAGAAAAGGATCTTCGGGTAAGCATTATACCGAGTACATCCCCTGAGGTGCACATCAACCAAATAACTGCTGCAGCATATGGATGCCTGGCAAACCTTAGAATAGCATTTCGATATCTAAGTAAGGAATTATCTAAGACACTGTACACCGTGTACGTCAAGCTCATATTGGAGTATGCAGCACCAAAATGGAACCCCCACCTGGTCAAAGACGTCTAGAAACTGGAGAAAGTGCAAAAGTTTGCAACAAGACTAGTCCTGGGGTTAAGGGGTATGTCTTATGAGGAAAGGTTAAAGGAACTCGACCTGATGACACTAGAGGATAGGAGGAAAAGGGAGGACATGATAACGACATATAAAATACTAAGGAATGGACAAGGTGGACAGGGTTAAAATGTTTCAGAGATACGACACAGGAACATGGAGACAAAACACTCTGAAGGGTGAAGTAGTGGAGCGGACCTAGTAGCGACTAGCGAAGAGGCGGGGCCAGGAGCTGTGAATCGACCCCTTCAATCACATATAGGTGAGTA